TTCGCACTTATCTCTGCCTAAATCTCATGAAACCCAAGGGAGTTACTTCTGAATAACACATAAGCCAACACTCTTAGTTAAATAATTAAATCATTTTCTCTGGAAATTTTCAGTGGTAGAAATCTAAAAGTAAACTTGTATGATTGCTGGGCTGAAGCTTCATTCCCATTATTCATTAAGTGATGATCTGGGAATATGTTTTATTTAGGAAGCATTCACTTTTGACACCTAACTGTATTGTATAATTTACCAAACCAATGGAGAAAAGGCTTGGAGAAGAGGAAGAAGAAATAAAAAAAATGATCCACATTTACATGCAAAAAGGAATTTGCACGTTATACCCATATGGATTCAGCTTTTGGGGCATGAGGCAGTGGAGCAGTAAGTAAACAAATGGGAAAGAAAAGTACTGACTCGGTGTAAAAAGGAAATGCCCTGTGTACATTTGACAGTGTAAACATGACTAAAAATGAATTTTATATTCCCATCTGTGTCCTTGAGTCTCCTTGAACTCAACAAGTCTAATTTGCATAGGACTGCATTATGAAACGCAAGTAAGATTTATTTACAGGGTTTCTTTCATAGAGTTTAGATTATTAAAAAAATGATTTTGACAGAATATTTGTAGCTCAGGGATGAACTGTGGGATCCTTGGTGTTCTCTGAGCTTGGTTGTTTTCTTGCAGACGTTTCATTACTCAACTAGATAACATCGTTAGTATTAGAAGGGAGTGAGGTTTGCTTTCTTTTTGTATACTAGTGCAGTTTGGGCACCAGGGACCGGTTTTGTGGAGAGACGTTTTTCAGCCGCCCAGAGGGGGTGTGGTTTTGCATGTTACCTGCATTCCACAGATGGGGCTTCGCTGTTTGCGTGGACCAGTTTCTGGGATGTTGCAGACCGGTGCAGATCCACAGACCAGGTGGTTGGGGACCCCTGTACTAATGGCTCGCTCTGTCATTGTTGGTGGGAATGTTTATCTGTTAATTAAAAAACAGGTTATCTGGTTTAATTGTGGATGGATTTAAGGTATTTAAGTTATTCAAATGTAAGTAGATATCACTTGACAGAATATGGAGGTTTCCTACATGATTCCATAAGTTGCTGTTTTCTTATCTAAATATTTTTTCTATATGGCATTTATCACCATAATCTGCATTATTCCTGGAGGTGTACAATAAAACCCCTTAGGACAGATGGTGCGCACTCATTATCTCCTAAATGCTCTCCAACAAAGTAACTTTGATAATATTTTTGATTATCTAAATAAAATTAAGAATGCAATAAATGCCCTTAGTTAAGTTTGCTAATAGGCTGAGTAAAGAAACCAGATTGAAATTAACTGGACAGTATTATGGGTCAATAGGAGATAACACTTGGGAATTCACATTCAGCATGTTGTGAAAAGGATTACATTCCTCCTGAAAGAGCAGCCTCATAGTTTAAGATGTTGTTGCTGGACTGAAAGATAGCGGTTGCATAGAATGCATTTGCTTTGTAGTGTTTTATTGCTCTCATATACAGAAAACAAGGAATACAAAAAAAGGAAATAATTTGTCTTACAATACAAATAAAAATATCAATATCAGCATTAAACTTTGAACATACAAAATAATACTGATCAACCTTTCCAGAATGTAAATAGAAAGCCACTTCATAGGCACAGATTCAAAAATAGTGATCTTATGGACTGCAAACTAATAATATATTTTTGGCTAACGCTCTTGCTCAATTAATCCTTATCTGCCTCTATGAGTTATTAGGGAAGTGCAAGGCACAACTGGATGAAAAAGAAGCAGTAGAAAAAGTGGAAGAAGTAAACTTCAAAGGAAGAACTGGCTTAGTGTGGTGGTCTGGTAATTCGTAAATGAGGGAGATGCTGAAAGCAGCATAGGAGAAAAGTTCTATTCTTGCCAGCACACAGTTGGTACTAAATGAGCCCTCAAAGCTGCAGCTGTCATGGTGGAGCCATTCGGCAGAATGTCAGTTGGGAGAGGAGAGTCTCGGCAGAGTTGTGTAGGGTTAGAATGTCACCAAGCTGTCATCTGTGTCTGCCAAGAAATATAAACCTATGGAATTGTGATTGATGTGGTAGCTTGACTAGGTCAACAGAAAAGATGGTCAGAGAAAATGGGCAGCAAGAAAAAAATTGAAAGATCAGAGGAGAACCTGAAAGGCTACAGGCTCTGTGCAACATTTGGCAGTTGCTTCATCTGTTGTAATTCACCTATGTAGAATTACACAGTAACTTGTGTGAGATGGGTGGCCATATAAGACCATTGTGGGATGGGGGGGGAAGAGAGAGAGAAAGGGAGAGGGAGAGAGATACTGAAGCAATTAAAAGAGATATTCCTCCATCTCTAACTTCCAGAACAGCACTGATTGAAGTGCATTGAACAGGGAGATATAACCAGGGCAGATGGTCCCAAAACTAATCTGATCCAAGTCATGCAATGCTTGAATTGCACTAGGAAAAAAAGAGAGATA